AGTTCTGTGGCTCCAGAATTGATAACGTGGACCCAAAGCTGAGAACAAAGAGGAGTTGAATACCCCACATTCTAAAGAGAGCCAAGAAGAACAGAAGTCTGACTCCTCCCCCAGGGTCTAGAACAAGGAACAAGAGGCAGCTTAACTGGCTTTGCTGCCCCCAACCCTCAGCCAGCACCACCCACCCCCGTCTGTATAAGCAAAAGACTAGGGGGGAGGGGAGGATGAAAAGTCATCAGAGTTTGGGGACTCATCTAGGTGGTGTCGCAGCACTTTCCATATCGCGCAAAAACCAAGGGCAAGGGGCTCTCAGAGACTAGAGGATGAATTCTGGGGCTCCTACCCCATGCCATCCAAGCAGGGAAGGGAGGACCGCAGAGAGAGGACGGTGGGAGTGTGTGTGGGTGATGGAGCGTCCTGCACACTCACCATTTGGCAGAGCAAGCAGGTGTGAGTCTCCCATGGGTGAGGGGGTCGCAGGCAAGGGTGGAAGTTCTGGGGGGTACTGGAAGGGCTCAAACCAGGTTGACTGTCCCAAGACAAAGGCTAGAAGAGCTCACATTCCAGCTACAAGAGAGAGCCAACACTTGGGCACTGGACTCACAGCGGACACCAAAAGCTACTCGGTATTAGCTAAAGCACGGTTGCTTGAACTTTTTGTACATTGTCCTTTTAAGCAGCCTTTTTGGATGAATATTTTTTCCTACTCAGCACCTTCCTCTCCCTGATCATAGAATTTCAATGTGATAAATATATTATATATCTGTTTACATTTTGGGGGAAAGAGACAAATCATTTTAAGATCTTTTTGCTCCCCCAGGACTAATTTTCCCCTTTGGGAGGCAATATTGCTCCTGCCAAGAATGCATGACCTAGAGAAATGGTCTCATCCAATGTAATAATGAAGTCTGCCTCACATAACTACAGCCCCACGAAGTTAGGTTTATTATCTTGCTGCGGCAAGAGAGCCCACACTCTAGAAGTGCGGGCATCTTATATAAAGAAGAGACAAGAATTTGAAGTAAGAGTGCAGNTAGAATTGGTGGATGGAAAGACAAAACATCCAGACTGAAGGAAGAGGCTAAACAACATGCCTAGATGCTGGGGGAGGATCTGGGTTGGAAGAACAAAAACAACAGTTAACCTGTCTTTGTGACTTGGCTTTACACATTAGCTTCTCAGTCCTCTCAGTCACCAGACCGTAGGTTATCTCCATTTTACAAATGAGGGAATGGGCCCAGAGAGGCCAAGTCTCTTACCTGAGGCCCCATAGCTAGCAGTGATTGAGGCGGGACTGGAAGCTGGTACTCGCTGATTCCGAAAACCAAGCCTCTATCTCACTCTGCTGTTCTGCCTTCAGCTCTGTTATCCATGGTGACCAGGCCCCGCCAAACTCCGAGTCAGCTGGGGCAGTCTGACGAGGACACATGTAAACAGGCCACGACGAGGAAGAGAACTAAACGCAAAGCAGACCAACCATCTGTGCTGGTGCATCTTCTTCCCAGTGAAGAAACCCTCTTGAAAAAAATAAATTAAGATAATTAGTCAGCACAGTTGACTTTAGATTACTGCAAAAACAGACGGATGTTCTTTAGAGCTATTTTCATTGAAATGTCATTGTTTAGTAAGTATTCATTTTCCACTGAGCGGGGAAGACGAGAAACAGCCGGTCAGGGCCGCATCTCCCAGCAAGGCAACGAGAGAAATGCTGGCACCTGTTTGCGTCCAGTCAGCTTCATTTCAAAAACACTTATTGAGCACCGACTACATGCAGATGGCTGGGCTCGGAACTTCAGGGATTTCAATACTAATGTCTTTAAACATCTGCTTTCTTCCTGGGGTTAGGGTTGCTGGGAGGATGAGGACTGGCTGTGGACTTCAGGTGGAAGGAGAAAGACATCATCTCTGTGGAGAGATGAAGGCACGAGCTGACTGTCTGTCCCACGGCTCATCTGTCCATCCCAAGGCATTCGGCCCTGGCTGCTAAGAAGTTGAGGCAAACATGGGTCTGCAGGATTCAGAAAGGGAACAAAGGTGACAGGGAGTTCTGTGGCTCCAGAATTGATAACGTGGACCCAAAGCTGAGAACAAAGAGGAGTTGAATNAGCGCCGCCACACTTCCCAAGCGGCGCACTATCCAGTGCGCCACCGGGCCGGCCCCTTAACAATACGATTTCAAACAGCAAAGTTTCTGACAGTCTGTGTTTTTAGAGAACAAGCTTTCTCAGCAATATAATTTTGTTAATTAACAAAACAAGGTTTTAAAGGTTTACAAGAGAAACTAATTGAGGGCCATGAAGTAGAAGGAACTTTCCCCTCCTAGAAGAAAAGATCCTCCTTCACCAAAACCTAAGGCAATGAAATCCAGAAGGACAGAAGGAAGGGTTGGTGACACACCTCTGCCATAGGTTCCCTGGGCCACAGGTCAAGTCTCAGCTTACAAGGGACCGGGGAGGAGACTAGAAGCTTAAGTCACCAAGTGTGACCAGAAGCCTAGGGAAGCTATCCAAGAAGTCATTAAGAAGCTGGCAAAGATGGTTCAATCCAGCCTGACTGAAGGCAGCGTGAGTGGCGAGACCACCGCAGGCTCGTGCCCCGACAAGCTCAGACTATTCAATAAGCCGGCATCAGTCAGAGGAGGGCAGAGGCTGCAGGCAGGAGGCAGAGCAGGGACCAGACACGGTGGGGAGGGGAACAGGCTGACCTGATGCTCTTTCCTGAATTGAATGTATCACCTGTCACCAGAGCTTCTTTGGAGATTTTAGCAAGTAGCCTCTCAGTCTGTGTATGTGCCTGGTGGGGCAAGGGAAGTGGTGATGCCAAACAGGAGAGGTAAGTCTGCTTTACTTGGATCCTGGGAAGGAGGCAAGACTAGAGCAGGTCAGGGT